TGTATAAAGAGAAATAGAGAATTGTATAGATATTGATTGTATTATTGATTGATATATTGTTGAATGTTACAATGATTCCTATATATAGAAGAGTAGGTGGTAGTAGGTGGTAGGTGGAGTAGGTGAAGTGGAGGTGGTAGTGGTGTAGTGGGTTAGGTTTAGTGGAGTAGGTTTAAGTGGGTGAAGTAGGTGATAGGTTTAGTGGAGTAGGTGAGGTGGTAGTGGTGTAGTGGATTAGGTTTAGTGGAGTAGGTGAGGTGGTAGTGGTGTAGTGGGTTAGGTTTAGTGGAGTAGGTTTAAGTGGGTGAAGTAGGTGATAGGTTTTAACAGCCCCCCGCAAACTCAAGGGGGATAGGAACTAGCCAACTTGAGTTTGGAGAGAGTAACAAAACAAGAAAATAGACGAATACATAAAAGAAAAGAGGATAGGAGACACTGTATGGTCATGTCAGACCGATGGTGAAGACACTGTATGGTGGTGTCATAACGTTGTAGAGGACACTGGATGGTTGTGTCAGACCAATGTAGAAGACAGTTTATGGGGTCATGTCGGACCGTTGACATAATAAAATTGTTAATAAAAAATAAAGAATGATTTTATCTTCTTGTTTTGAGTTTCAATCCGTAAATCACAGCAAATCGTATGATGGAGTAGTCCTGTAAAATAAATTGATGTATATTATTGATGGATTTGTTACAAGATTGGTTGTTTATTACAATTGGTGAGGGGTGCATTATATAGGAGAGATATAGGTGTAGTAGGTGAAGTGTAGTGGAGGTGGTAGGTAAGGGGAGTAGGTGAGGTGGTAAATTCTAACAGCCCCCCGCAAACTCAAGGAGGATAGGAACTAACCAACTTGAGTTTGGAGAGAGTTACAAAATAAGAAAATACATAAAAATAAGAAAATACATAAAAATAAAAATAAAAAAAGATAGGGGACACTGTATGGTCGTGTCAGACCGTTGGGGAAGACTCTGAAAGGTGGTGCCATAACGTGGTAGAGGACACTGGATGGGTGTGCCATAACGGTGTAGAGGACACTGGATGGTGGTGTCATAACGATGTACAAGACAGTTTATGGGGTCATGCCGGACCGTTGTAGCAGACAATGT